GTTTATTCAATAATTCAGTTTAAAAATATCAGCAAGATATTGGAAAACTGTATTCACATACAGTTTTCTCTTACACTCTTTTGGTCATGGCAGCTAGGGAGTTTACTACTGGATGGCAAATCCCAGATTGTATGAATCTGGTTTTTTCAAGTGGTAAACTCATCATTTGTATTCAATAGCTCTAAGAGAAAACCACATCGATGGCAGTACAGTGGAAATGGCTATTTTATTAAGATGTAGAGAACAAAAGTACAGCTGTAATTCACTGTGGAATTTCCATATATTTTGTTGTGAAAGTGATGACAATTTGATGATTTTACCATAAAACTGTCAAATACAGCAAACTATTAAATAAAGGCATTTTTTATGTTGTGGCAGAGACATTCAGGCTCTTTCTAGATTAGTTCAAATGCAGCTCTGCTAACAACCAATTATAGCATATAGGTTTTCTTCAAATATACCAAAACCAACCAACAAAAACCAAGCACAAATAAACAAACAACAAACCACAAAATCAAAATACCTTTTCTAAAGACATCGTCTATAAATTATTCATGTATTTTTGACTTGTTTTCTAAAACTGCCAAATAAAAGTTCAAAAGGAATCTTTTTGTCCCAAAGTATAATTCTTTATCAAAAGTCTTCCTTGAAATGCTTTTATTTATTGCTATTATTTATTAATTTAATGCAATAAGAATTAATTAACCTCTCAAGTGATATTTTGAGAGTCCAATAAATTTCACAAAATTGCTAAAGATATATGTTTTACTTTGGTTTATAATCTTGAAAGGGAGATTACTTCATTACTAAGAGACCATTTCTTCATACAGTTTTATAGATTGGAATTTCCATACCTCCTTGATCACTTACACAGCCAGAAAACACATTATGAAATTGGGATGTAAATTACTAGCAAAGTAAAACCACAGAAAGCTGATACACTGTTATCTCTTGTGTGTGTGTGAACACAATAGGAAGGCCTGCTATTTAAAGTTTCTTATATTTCCAGGATCTAGCAAGGTCTAACACAGTCTTTGTAATTGCTTTGGTATTTCTGATTGTAAGACTGTAAATTTATTATCTCTCGGTATTTCTGTATTGACTTTTTACAGATTCTGTGTCCTTATACATAAGGACTGATGGAAAATAAAGAAATGTTCAAAGTTTAATTACTTTTTAAAATTCAAAGTTACTTATAAACTCATTCATTTTCAAGAAGCAGCAATAAAGCAAAGTGTTTTAGAGCTGTGATGCATTATGGAGAGAAAGATGTTATTGTACAGCATATGGTTCTGTTAGAACAGAATGCTTCTGCATGAAAAGAGCAGAGAGGTGTGTTGCTTTTTCACACAGCTCTTCCCCAAGACTAAATGTAATTATTATTCTTACATATTCTCGAGTAAGTTGTAAACAAACTATGATTTACATGGAATGCACAGAGATTTAAATATAATATTATGTAAACATAAGACAAGCTGTACTTTAGCCAAGGTCTTTTAATGTAGTATAGATTCAGCAGTTTATGAAGAAGTAAGGGTGGAGAAAAAGAGTTCATAGGAAATAATTCAATTGTATAAGCTTATCTTTAACTACTGTTTTTGCTTCATAAGAAAGACTGAATCTATGCAATACTATGACAACTCTGTTGAAAATAATCTCATGATTATAGACTTATTTTGCAATTCATCATAAACATTTTCTAACAAATGTATTTTGATTTTTTTTACTTTTACATTGATTTTTTTACATGTTTACCTTGTTTTCGTTTTTTTTTTAATAAATACCTTGAAAATGAAAATAAGGTTTCTAAATATATTTCAAAGTTAAAGTTTAATAAACATAACATACATATTTCCTCAAGATGAGTTAGCAAAGTTGGCACAGAAACCAGAACCTTCAGGGTTTTATTTCAGTTGATGAGACACTGACCCACCCTATGATGAAGAATGCAGCTAACTCTACTCTTGTAGAGTACATGAGTCTCATTTAGCATTTATAATATATCTCTTCAGTGATATTGGCCAGGTGGTTGTGTTGGGGTTTTAACTAGCACCTTAATAGCAAAAGTCTATGAACAACCTGTTCATACAAATTGACTCATCTCATCTTTTAGTTTCCCAAAGTGTGAGATGCTGTGCTTCAGCCCCAGGACTGCAGTAGATAAAGTCCAGTCTCTCAGCACCTACATGAAGACCAGGGAATTGCAGCCCATCATTTCCTTTCCCTCATGATGGGATCTGATACTTTTGGCCCTTGGCAGTGTGACATTACAGAAGGCTGCTGGTGAGGGTGGTACATCTGCTGAGGAGAGCACCAGTGTGTCAATGCTCAGGTCATGAAACAGGATGGATTAAATGTGTACTCATAATGGCTAAAACATAACCATGGTAACCTATTTGTATTCATGAGGAGGGAGAAAAGCTCAGGAAAAATGAGAGTCTGTGGATGAGGGGAGGACTTGCTGCAGGACCTTGGTGCAAGGTACAGGTGTAAGGGAGTAGATACTCTCTAAAGGTTTGAGGAGCACACAAACCTTAGCAAGTGGAGTAGGTTCTCCAATACAGGGCTCAGTTCTGGCTGTGAACCAGATTCCCAGGGATGGATTTGGGGATGACACACTGGGTGCAGGAGGCTGCACTCAGTATGTGCTGGAGGACAATGCAAGATGCTGTAGGTGAGAGTACTGTACAGGACAGGAGCACAGTAGGTGAGAGCACACAGCTGGGCTGGGAATAAGGGGCTCCCTATTTCAGAACAGGATAGCACTGTGAAGGGGTGGGAGAGGTGGACTACAGAGGTAGCGGCAGCCAAAAAAATCTGGATCCTGTCTATACAGGTATTCAGCAGGCCTAATTAAAAACAAACAGCAATCTCCATCTCGTCATATGGAGAATAAAATACACAAAGGAGAAAAGTATCAAGGAATTAAAAATAGAAACACTTCTGTTGCTCTTAAGAAGAAGAACTTTAGATGAGAGCATGTCACATGTGGCAAATATTCAGAAATACCTTATGTGTCACATTGTAAAGTCCTATTATCTTTGCATCCCCCAGAAATATCATGATCTCCTTCAAACCCAAAAGCAAGAAATAACTCCTCAGTGTTTAGTGTTACTAGAATTGCCCAGATATAAACTAACTATATATGAAAAACCTTAATGGATCTAGTCTGCTGCCTCAGAAAACTGGACCAAAAATGGCTCAAATTATACTCCAAGGTGTACTTGAAAGTATATACAGGGACATGATCTGCATCTACTGCATCATAAGTTGCACATTCGTAGACAAGGATATTGACAGTTTCAGCATAGAAAATTAATTCCTAGATCACAGTAAAACTAAATTTTTGGACTTAAAGTTCAAAACTAACTGATAATTTTGGGAATTCTTATAGATAAAATCTAAGAAGCCATCATGTAAAATGCATTTACCACACTACTAGCCACAGATACAAGCTGTAATATAGTTGAGCTACCACATACTCATTCATGATTTACAGTCTGATAGCTGCTCTCCTTTGGTGTATGAGAAAGAAGCATTTAATCTCTCTTAATCGGCAAATTCACTTAAAGTGAAGTGTGGTTTTCCAACAGAAGAAAATTTAGTCATGCATACAATTCACATGAGGGTATATAAGAATAATGTTTGCATTTTTTCAAAGTCTACAATTCTTAACTTCAGAAGACTTGTATCACAATTAAAAATTAAAACCTACTACAAAATACTGATGGGAGTACTACATGTGTTGACTTCGAATAAGCACTATAAAGTTAAAGTGTATGTACACAATTCATGAGAATTCAAATGAATAGGTGATCCTAAAATTAATTTGCATGTCCAACAGGAGTGGGTTTAATGTAATATATAAGCAGTATCCCTTTCTTCTCAAATTCTAATTAAAACATAAAGCTTCTTCTTCTCTAAGAGGCTTTTTTCAGTAGCAGTTTAACAATGTTATTGTACATAGGATATACTCTAAATTGTATTTATAAATGTGACTACCAACAATGTGGTCCAAACATGCATTTTGATTTGGACATGGTATGTAATGTACTTACCTGATGGAATAAAAAGAAAGAGATAATAAGTATATAGATATAGTAAGTTTTTAATTATGGGGATAGAAAGATTCAGCTTACATTTACAAAAAGTCATCAGTTTCAGGGAGCAAGTCCCAGTCTCCAGACCAGGATGTACAGAAGAGTTTGCATCTACCTCAAATGAATTGTACCTAACTCTGTCCACATGCAGAGCACTTGGCCTGGGTCTTCTCTGAGCTCCATAGCAGACCTTAAGGACCATAGAAAAATCCATTTTTGCTTAGTTTCTAGTTCTGAGAACTTGAGATATTAACTAAAGACAAACAGCAGTCCATCACAAGGGCTGCGTCTATAAAATGACCTTGAGAGTGTGTTTCATCCTATAGTGAGGGGTATAAGGACACGCAAGCTTTCATGGTGACAACACTATGCCATCTATAGACCTCTTCTAAAACTTAATCTACTAATTTTTCCACCTTAGGCACAGCTAGTTGGTTAAATCTGGAAAGGGAAAACAGAACTGAAGAAATAATACAGAGTAATGCAGAGCATCATCAGACTTGTGCGTCAGCCGAGGGGAGATGAAAGGAGAGCCTGCAGCTGTACTACGAGGGATGGAATTGAAAGCTTCTTACAAGCCTGTGGCTATGCTCTGTGAATTCTTTCTTTTTCCTCCTTGTGTAAGAACAAATGCATTTTTTTTATTTTCAGTGCTCACATTCTATATTTTGTACAATGTCCTTCCACTATGCAGACAAGCAGTATGAAGTTATGATGAAAAATCTGAAATATGGGGTCACTGACTTTCACTGACATTTCTTTTATCAACAGTTTGGAAAACCTGTGTGAGAACTGTCACCTGTTGGAACTCTCCTTCTCATGGCAAAGGCATAAAGTGCTATGCTTATTAGATAGGACAACACTTTCCATGCTTGTTGAAATGCCATAATCACCACTTACTGCGGTCAGTAATTATTGTCCGGGCCTCTTGATTGCTCGTCTTGTTTTTTAGATTTTGTGCTGCAGTTATTAATTCATCCAGCTGGGGACGTCTTTGCTCCAGATCCTGTAGTATTGCCTAGTTGAACACAAATTTAAAAAAAAAAAATAAAGAAGAAAGCATAAAGAGCTTTTGAGAAGACCACATGAAGGGACTTTTTTTTGTGCAAACTTGACTTAGAGCAAAAATATTGTTTTCTGTTTCAAATAATACAAAGAATTTGGTCTAGACTTTCTAAATATTGTTGTTATTAATTTAAAAACACCAAGTATAACTTGCACTAATAATTTTAAGAGAATCTGTAAAACTAGATACAAAGTAGGAATCATTCTTCATTTTTAACACTTCAAATTATGCAGGATAAGTTATTCTTGTCTATAAACCTACATAGAAGGACACTATTTTTCTATATTAACTGATATTTTACTCTGTATTTTAGAAAGAACATATAAGGGCTTACATTTTTGTCAGATTACGCAGGCTTTCCCTATTAACTTATGAAGTCTAATAAATTATGTTTATTTTTTAATATTTCACAACTGTTTAATTATTATCTATTGGTTAAAAGCCATTGTAAGACTGTTAATGTCACTTTTTTCTGTCCTTAGTCCTTACCTAGCAGAAAAATAATTAACACTCAGAATAATTTACATGCTACTCAAACCAATATATAAAGTCCAGGTGATCTGACTAGAAAGTAAGAAGAGGATTTAGAGTTTCTCATGGGGAAAAAGATGAGCTTCATGGTATTTAGAAGGCAATAAAAACTAAGTTACAATAGCTTTAGATAAAATGAGAATGAAAACTCAAGGAAAGTAAGGCATATACAATTTATGCATATATTTAACTTATTTTGAAGGATTAGGGAAAAGCAAAAAGGAATCAGTACAATTGTCTCTCAGATGAGAGGCATCCATGTATGTCTTTAAAAGACATTGACCAAATTCAGACACTCAGCTACCTCTTGTGGAGTTTCCAGAAAAGATGCTCATTAGATTTCCCAGTCTTAGGAGATGGAAGTAGCAATACTTATTACAAAACCATGAAAAAGTAATAAAATTACTTTTATTCTGCCTACAGTTTTTAGTCATCAGAACAGAGCAGTGTGCCATCAGACAGTAGGTACACTTCAACAGCTATCAGTTTGCAAAACAGGCTAGAGAAAGATTTCTATTTTTTAGGCTGGTTACATAATCACTGTTATTATCTGTTTGCATTCTCACCTGCCTGTGGATAAACTGTCTGGAGTATTTTATTTTCTTAAAAGTCTCCTCTCCTTAAAAAGTTTTTGTTCTAAATAATGATAGTCGATTTTAAAAAGAAGCTGTTCACTGACTCTCCTGGATAGAAAAGACCTGTAAGTCTGATCTTAAATTTGACTCTCCAGCTTCAGACTACGGTTGCATAATTTCCACCAAGCTGAAGGTTTCAAATAAAGACCTAATACCATTTTCTGTTCAATAAGATTAACAAAAGAGCATGAGAATATAGTTTTCATTAGCTACAGCATGTACTATCAGAAGCAAACTAAAAGCTCCACAGAGTTTCATTTTGTTCAGTTACAAACTCGAGAGAAAAAAAAAAGAGATAAATTTCAAGATGCACATCTAGTTTCACCCTGTGAATTTCTTGTTTCTAACTTCTGTATCAGGTCTTTGAAAATCTATTATAACTGGCTTTCTAAAGTCATACCCAAAAGTTTGGATGGTATTTTTTCACTTGTATACTGATTGAATTGCAGATACATGCAGTTAAAACAGCAGCTTGCATAATTAAGCAAAGAAGAAATTTCTCATTAGAAGTCTCTCCTTAGTAAGAGAAATAAAATCTACTGATGCCATTACTATCTCTAGATATCTATGTGCCTTCCAAACTCCATTTTCTAAGAAGACAAGTTAATGTGTGACATGAATTTTATAATGGGAAAAGCAGTCCCAGTGCAGTCGAACAACATCTGTATTACACATATTGCCAAAATGGACGGTGCAGAAGAACACTAAAGCACACACAACAGGCTCAGATAATCCTGTCCCTTCCCATTCTCTCTCCTTCCCTACCTAGCATATGTTTTGAAGGGGAGAAGCAAATTAAATCATTTTAAGGTCTTATGCCAACAGTGACTTTCTTCCCTAAAGTTTCCTAAGTATCATTTTATACTGAAACATTCAAACAGAGTGATTTATCTGATCCAAGCTGAGCCTCCAACTAGACGTTTAATGCTGTGTTTTTATCACCACAAAAGAAAGCTGCTGTTATGTGTTTCATATAGTAAGAAATGAAGCATTAGGTAAGGACAGCTCAGAAAGGATTTGTTCAGTACCAAAATGAGGAAATGATCTGCACCCAAAGGCTCCCAGAAGGATTTTCCCCCAAGACCAACCTGCATGTCCTGAACTGGACATTCAGAAAAACTAGAAATGCCTCTTTAAAGTGAGTATTGCTAGTTCTGCTGTTCCCTCAGGGATATAAAAATCTCATCCCTGTATGGATTGTGTGGACAGCCTTTCCTCTGCCATTTAATGTGAATAAAATTATTTTCTTCTGGATGCACAAGAGTATATTTTGGAAAGGTCAAAAAGGACACTCTAAAACTCTTAACACTGTAGACAGAGCTGAAGATTCTTAGACCTTTCATAAGACAATAATACATAATTGTAACACAGATTTCTTTTCTTGCCCTTAGAAAAAACCAGCAATTCTCAAATAAATATATTTTTTCCTTGATTTAATACAAAGTGTCTGAGAACTTTACCCAAGCAATGTCCTATTTAATTGGCAGAATTTTACCAATTACAATTACAAAATTGTTGCAATGTTTATTGGTCTAGTTCTACCAGTTTGTCTTAAAAGACTTCACAAATACATGCTCCACATGGTAGCTGCTGTGTATGTACCAAACTCTGATGGAGATTTGGATACAAGTAGCTACTAAAACACATAATTTCTATCTCTTCCTGTGCTCCTGTAGCGTGAAAATAAACAACAACACTTGAGCTCCACTTAAAGTGTTATCATATTCAGAAAAATATTCTGTGATTGGATAAAATGATCATACAAGCTGATTTTTTGGGTTAATAAAAATACAGTTAATTATGCTTAGGAAGAGCAGCGCTTTCAAGAATACAAACTAAAAGATTACTAAATATGATTTTGGGGAAAAATTAAAATTGAATAGCTTTAAAGTATTAGCTGAATGATCTAAAACAAACAAATAAAACCACCAAAAACATAATCAGAAGCAATTAATATCTTGAGATAGCTTTAAAAACTTTTATGAATTTGGTTGTAAAGCCATCCTCAACAGAAAACTAAGTGGAAACTTTACAACAGCCATAGGAATAAAAACTCATTAATAGTGGCACCCTGGTGGAGGCACAGCAGATGCAACAGACCAGATGCCTCTGATTTGGAATGTCAGCACACGGAAACAAATGTGCTATATAAAAATGGGTAATACAGAAATGAAAGTTATAATTAAACTACTTTCAAAATAAATGAAACAGAAATCTATCCAATCCCCATTAGGTCACCAAAAGTACAAGCACAATGACTTAGGGAGTCAGTTAAACTAAAAGTTGTAGGGTTTTTAATAAAAAAAAAATATTTTGCATACAATTTTTCCCCACCAACACTTTTCAAGTGCTCTGTAAAGGTACAAGAATGCATTCTCCAGAACATTATAGAACACATTTCAATGAAGAAATTTTGTTTAATTATAAATGCACCTCCACATAAGAAGGTCAACAGTGAAGGACCACTGACATGCATGGCTGTACAAACACATCTTTAGACCCCAAAAGAGCTTTTATTTTTCTTCCATATATCTATGAATGCCAGCATGGTGATGCTTGGTGAGAGCACAGCAATGCATGATAACGAGTAATGAGATACAGTCATCCAACCTACCTAGAGTTTGTTAGAAAGTGATGCTATTCACTTTAACAATCTTTCCACATTTGCGGACGGCAGCTGCTCAAAAGAAAAATCCAATTTTCAGGTTCCTAACTTTTATGATTTTCTTACACAAAATGGGTGTTGAGGTATGGAACAAAATGTTCAAGTCAGCAACTGAAATAACTTGCATAAAAATTGCTAAAAAATAAACTGACAAACTGAAACAGGTGAAGTGTGACAAATTCTTGGTGGGACTACTGCAAGGTTTGAGACTGAGAATTAAAATATTTTCTAGTTTTATAATATACAGCCTACATAATTGTCACTCTGGTCATGCTATTTTCTATAAAAGGATCTTTAAATCTATCCAATGTTTCTTTTTTTCTTTTTTCCTTTTTTTTTTTTTCCCCTTGGCTTTATGCCAAGTGTTATCAAAGTGGAATAGCTGAGCTCCAGGGTGGCACCAAGCCTTACACATTCATCTTATCTTTTACTAGTGCTGATTATGGGTGTTCACTCTTTAGTATCTGAAGAAATTTTTCCCACACCAAAGCCAAGACTTTTCATCTTCCTTTGCTGAACATAAACACATCAACAAGAGTTAAGGTTGATGCTTACATGCTCCCAGTCAAATACACCTTGTCATCTATTTTCTACTAAGTACAAGAATGCTAATAGTGAGTGATCAAAAAAATAATGTTTAGGCAAAACAGCAATTTAGAAGATTTTTGCTTTTCCTTGTTAAGAGCAAACTGGAAGCACTTTTTGCCTTTAACAAGCCATGGCTGAAGACTGACTTCACAACTGTTTGTTGTTTTGGATGATTTGTTTTGGCCCACTCCCAACCTTGTTTAATGAAATGAACCAGTGAACCACCAGAGCACAAGTAGATGATTAATGCAAGAATGTAAGGGAGAAGGAAGAAATATTTCTTATCCTATGAAGGTTTTTGCTCCTCTGAACTAACTCACTATGATATCTTCAGAAAAACATAATTCCATTAAATAGCTGTTAGGAAATTATTTGCTCATCTTTTGAAAAAACTTCATACTCAAAACCTTAAATTTAAACAAAAAATGAACCGGTAACTTCCAAAATGTATAGTCAAGGCAACTTTTAGTTAAAACAACTAAGTTTCTTGTAGGTGATTGGTTCTCTAAATATAATGTGTTACATACACACAC